TTATCTTGTGAAATATCTGATATCTTTGGAAATTAGACTAGATTAAACAGCCATGTCCTGCAAAGCTTGCATGATCAGTGGGTCTATGTATAATTGTCAAAAAAAAGGGACGGTATCCTGATTGTCAGACTGAATGGGCATTTGATTTTACTGTTACGTTTGGTTGGTAGGGCTATGTCTGCCCTTAAGAGTCAGCAGCGAATAACATATCAGTCCCATTGTTGTCACTTAGTTGACAGGGACACAGTAGCAGTTGTACGGAGCATATACCATTCATTTATGTTGGTCAAAGAACTTCAGACTTTTATTTATCTGCAGTTCGTGAGTGACAATTATCTGTGAAACATGACATGGATCTGCATGTAAGCAGTACCCAATTAATGGCTGTGAAACACTGTCTAACTTACTAATCTGTTGCCAAAATCAACATGTCTTGCTCTAAATCTGTGTAATAGGGTGTTTGTTTTGTTCATTTTATTAGTCCTGAAGCAGCAACCAGGCAGAACTATAATAAGTCAGAGCTGTGACTCAAAAGTGACCTTGGAAAGAGAGCGAAGTTGCAAACTAAATGGAAGGAGAGACAGGGGGCATGTGTTGTCTTATATAAAGCCCAGATGGTCCCAGAGAAGCACATGACAGAGAAATGATGGGATGGAAAAATATGGAGAAGGGAGTGTCTGTCTGTCTGTCTGTCTCTCTGTCTGTCTGTCTGTCTGACCAGGGGGCACCCAGGAGCCAACCCCGCAGGCTATAACACCTGGGCAGAGAGAGGCAGACATCGAGGTCAGTCAAGGGAGAGAGATGTCATGAAAAACACAAAAGTTCAACTTTCGCCCAGAGGGTTCAGCCAGTCAGGTGTTTGATGCTTCTCAATTTCTATGGGAGTAGATTCAAGACCCTGTCATTCACCTTTTACATATCTTCAATCTGTAATGGTCATTTAGTTTTAGTTGAAGAACTGTCAATTGTAAAAGTAAAGGCTCTGTGTTTTATAGCACCTTTCTAGTCTTCCAACCACTCAAAGCGCACACTACATTTACCCAGTCACACACTGAGCTTAAGTACTCAAACAGAAATTAACATTCACACACATTCATACACCGATGGAACAGCCATCGGGGGCAATTTGGGGTTCAGTATCTTGCCCAAGGGCACTTTGACATGGAGCCTGGAAGAGCCAGGGATTGAACCGCTGATCTTCCGATTAGTGGGTAACCCACCCTACCTCCATAGCCGCCCTGTGTTTGTCATCTTCTAGTTAACCTAGCCTCCCAGAAACAACAGCTCTACAACCAACAGAGAATGTGTGAATTTTTAAAGATGAAGAACAATGAATGTGTTCTCTGTAAAGAGATATTGAAACAACAGCAAACATCTCTTTGTTCTGAAAACAATCATAGAATGGTTAAGTAGCAAAACCACAGCATTGTATGCTATAGATCACACTAGTATTATTTTTGCCGTTTTTTTAGAAAACACAATATTGTACCTATTTATAATGAAATTCAACGCTGAGTCCCTGAATTTAATGAATTTCAAATGTGCCAAATATCTCTATGAATTATTAGAAAACAATTTCACCAACAAAGTCTTAGAAAACTAACTAGATCACTTAGTCAATCTTTTCTGTCAATCACCGAATCAAGTAATTGACAAATTGTTGTCACATCTGGCAGCTACCGATCCTCTTAAGTAGGTCAGTATCTGATCCACCGGATGCTTTCTGGAACAGTCTGTAACAACATTTAGAACATAAAACCCTTTATAACATCACCGTGGCAATTTTTGGCTTTGAGCTGAGTTTTAAGCTTGAATTACAGTGTATGTAAGTAGCTTTATATGCTGCTGTCAAACTGGCAGAAGCTATAATTCTGATTACTTCTGACCGATACATGCATTTTTTTATGCTAAATATATTAAATGAATTGCACTGTGCCTGATTTTCACTGTAAAATTACACCCACTGCACATGTCCTCTCCTTCTTTGGAATTCACTCACTTTGCTATTGAATTTAAACTCCACATAGATGACACTGTGTGCCCATCCACAATATGTCAGGTTGAGTTTAGAGCATGTATACCAAAGATTCAGGGTGTCATTACTGTTCCCAGTGTTATCTCTCCTTTCTGTCTGTCAGATTGTAGACCTGAGCCTAGCTGTCAACCTGTGTGTTTATGCATGTGTGTGATCTTCAGAAGGCTGGTTGCTGAGAGGGTGCAACAAGAACACACACAGCTGCACACTGCCTGTGTGTTTCTGACGCTCCTTTTCCTTCCAAAGTCAACTCCAGACGGAGATGCCGTAATGTGCGACCCGCTGTGATAGAGGGCTCACTGTTGGGGGTTTCTACTCTCACACTGCTGTGACCGTGGCCTCACTCTGAGCATCTCCTCACAAACAACACATTTGTTTGTTGATGTTCCTGTTTGTCCCACTTGTAGCCTCCACTCCTGTGCAGAAAAAGGTCAAGGATGCTGGAAAAATGCTCTTTGTTTTACCCTCCTGACATGCAAGCACAGCTAGACTCAAAGACAAACTACAGAGCTTTTGGGAAAACATTGCAGCTGTTTGTTTTATGTGGTTGTTGCTGTTTTGCTGTCCGATATATTTTTTTTCTCTCTCTAGTCAGGCTTGGAGCTGCCTCAGTGCTGAACTACAGCAACAGTTGTTGTTTTTGTTGACATATTGTACTGATGAACAAGATGTCTCACTCTTTGTCGGAAGTAGTGCCTTCATTTGGGAGAGGTGGTGCTGAGTGTGCGTGTGTGAGTGAGTGTGTGTGTGTCTGAGCAACGTGCCATCACCAGGATTGTCATTTGAAAAAAATGTTTTAAAGCGAAATTAACAGTTTGCTGCAAAGAAGGAGAGTGTTTCTATGAACAGTATTCACACTTTTGTCAGACTGAAAGCTGTTTTTATTGAAAATAAGTGTTATTCATTCATTGAGCCTCTGAAAATCAGTCTCTGCTAAACACAGATAACATAGGCAGCATGAATGAATTAATGAAGTTTTAATATTTTACTATGTATTCTACTATGCCTAGCCTGCATAGATTTTTAAGACACAATAAATTCATATGAGCCCGAGCAGGAGTGCAGCATCTACATTTTCAACCATGAAAAAGTCCAAAAATACAAAAATAAGCATTCACAATAAGATCTTTATTTTCCACAAAAAAAAAAATTGTCATCACTGAGAAAAGCATTTATTATATAATAGTGGGAACAAGTAACAAGTAAATACTCCATTGTCCATCTGTAAACCAGAATATTTCACGGTTTAGTAAAAGCATTTCTATTTTTTTCCTATAAAAGCATTTATTTTGTACACTAGCCTTCAAAAGAAAATGGGACTCACTTTCCACTTTACCCAAAGCACACAGCTCACACATGTTTTCCGTAGTCCGTACGTCCTATTCTCATGAACGCGATATCTCAGCAATGCTTTGAGGGAATTTCTTCCAATGTGGCACAAATGCCCACTTGGACTCATGACACTTGGATGGACTGATTAGAATTCATTTGTCAAAGGTCACTGTTACCTCACAAATCACGTTTTTGCCATTACTCAAGAATTTATGCCTTAATTATGGTTGCCGATTTACAGATATTTAATGAGCGATGAAGTGATAACATTTTTTACCCAAAAGGTCAAAGGGCAACTTCACTGTGACAACATAATGTCCTGGAAAACCCTTTTTTTCTAATTGTGACCTGTTAGTGAGTTTTACCTACAGCTCATGTAAAGGCTTTACATTTAAAAATGCCAGTAGAAAAAAAAGCACCACATTTTGTGTAGCTATACTTTATAAGAATCCATCTTTACGTAGTAATCAAGTACATGTGTACCTGTTTAGCCAGTACACCTATGATAGTCCTTCATTAATCAGCTCAACAATGTATATTCACTGGGATCATACCATCAATGTAATGATAATTTCAATTTAGCCAAAAATACACGTTATTAATATTCATTCCAAGTTTTCACAACATATATGAGTCCAGGCAGACATGGATGAAAACTTGACTGGTTGGTGGAGGCATACAACAGTGTTGTGATAATCTAGTTTAATCTGCCAGCTTCAATGGTTTGAGGAAGAATACCAGCTCTCAACTGTGTAGCTAAATATCTTTGACATCTAGCCAATCAAAATGTAACATGAATATGCACATATGTCCTTAATTTTGGCTTTGACTAAATATTTTTAAACAGTTGTTTTATAATAATAACTTTTACAGAGTTAATACTATAACAGAAATTCCTTTAGTTATGCAGCATAACCAAAAGTAGATCATTTCATAATCTGTGGATTGCCAGAATGGAAGAAAATATATGTAAATAATCAAGATCATTACTTTACAGCAAGTCTAGTCATCTATGTTTGCAGTTTTGTACTGTTTACAAAAAGAGTGCACAAATGATCAACATTAGCAGTATTTAGTTTGCCACTGAGCACGAGTGTCTTCATGTGCACCAATAAAAACACAGACAGACAGACAGCTATAGCTGAGGTTACGGAGGTCAGGAGAGAGGGACCATCTGATGCCAGCAGATGGAGTGATGGAGGAAGGGAGGAGAAGAGAAGCTCGAAATCAGGACGACAAGACCAAATGCTTATCGGCTGATCTTAAGGCGCTGATTTCACTTTACATCCTGTCTGCTCCAGCGCTCCCACCTTGTGCTATGGGGTAGAGGAGATAGTATTTTACAGAAAATATTTACAATGAACCGTAAGTGTTTGCGCGGCACATGAATAATACCCTTCCGATGCAAAGATGTTTATTATTTACCATCATTGGATGATACTGATGAAAATAATAATTTAACCATCAGAATCTGATATGGGCATATACAGTCTTTCAGGATGCTCTTCTAATAGGTGTGTTTTAATGTGCCCAGTGTTGTTGTTAAACCTGCTGCAGCAGCTCTATCTCAGGAACACAGTAGCCTTCCTGTCACCTGAAGACACCTCTGTTTCTCTCCCTGTCTTTGTTGTAGAACGGAGCTGTTCCAGGCGAGCCAGTGACGAAGGATGAAAACTCCCGGAGAGGGAATTGGGGCAACCAGATTGAGTTTGTCCTCACCAGCGTGGGCTATGCTGTGGGCCTGGGCAATGTCTGGAGGTTTCCCTACCTCTGCTACAGAAATGGAGGAGGTGTGGATTTTAATGTATTGATTTATTAGTGGTTGATTTTGTTATTGCATGTAAATTGAGCAGAGTATAGTTTAAGTACTTTAAGTACATTAAAAAAGACATGAAAGGAAGGTGTACTGAAATGGAGAATGGTTCTAAACACTGCACAGAACAAGCTAACTTATTAGCTGGTGACTAGGGAAATGTATGTATGCACGCTTGCCTTGCACAAGAAGCTCTCCAAGGGTGGGCAATTAAGTTGAATCCTGAAAGAATTAAACTGTCTGAACAGGCTGGACTCAAATCAGAACACACACTACAGTAACACATTTTAAACAGAAGAAAATAGACTTTCAAAACATGTAGACTATCTGTAAGAATTTAAAGCACAATTAAACACTATTTTTGACATAACAACTGCAGCACTGTATATGGTTGACTCCCAACAGTTCTCACAAAACCTAGCATGTAAAAACAAGCCCAAAGAGTGCATACAATATACATTTACAGTATATATGCACCAGCTATATTTGTGTGTAATATTCAAGGTTCTTCTTCACTAGCAGATTTCAAACTACTGAATTACTACATCTGTTTTCTCCATTAAAACTTAAGGAAAGTCTCAGCTAGTGACGACTTCACTGATGTGTAAAACGGTTGCTGGGAAATAGTTGTTGTCCTGTTAAAAGCAATCTAATACTATGTAACCCAGAAGTCACAGTAGCAGACGCAACTTTATGTGCCTTCCAAGTGTAACAGTTTAAGGGGGGAAAACAATACATTCAAACCCGACTGTAAATCCTTTTTAAATGTAGGCATGGCATTGCTTTTTCGTGCATGCAACGAAAAAAGTGTATTTCAGCGTTGTAGTCATGCAGTTTAGAAAACAGGAGAAAAGAGAAATCTGATGCATCCTTACTGACTGTATTTGGTCATAGTCTCAGCTAGTCTAATTGTGAGGTATTCAGAGTTGATAGTCTCACGTTTGTTTGAGCGAGCCTTCGATTTTAATCAGTGCAGCTGTCTTTACCAGCCGCGCTTTGGCTCACACTTCATGTGCATAACTCCAATCCAAAGCATCTTTTTAAGCGTAACTACATTATTGTTTAGTGGGGTGTGAATGCTGTCAAAATGTGTGCGAGTGCATCAAATGCATACAGCTGCTGCTTCCTGCTTCTGCTGACGTGCTGCTTTCGCTATACAGCCACTGTAGGCTATTCAAGGCATAAGAACGTGATGAAAATAAACTATACACAAGCTCGGTTGCTGTCAGTTTGTTTTGGAGTCTTTCTTCCCTCTGTTCAGATGCATCCCAAAAACTCTGGATTGAGTTGACTAAAATGTGTTTTAAATAGTACTATACTGTCTGAGACCTTTCCTTGGCATCTATCCCACTTCAGTTCACATTTACGCTGCAGATACAGCAGTATTTTGGTTTAGTGTTATACAGACCTGCATTCCCAGACAAGGACTCAGTATATTGAGGCCAAACATTAGCTCATGCACAGCTGCAAACAATGCAGAGCATACAGGAGAGCTGAGCTTTACCACCAACTCACACAGAACGATAAGGTTTTGTTATTTTACAATATCAGCTGGTTGCACCGACCTAGTTCACATACGGAAAGTCATATGAAAGCGCACACACACACACACACACACGTTGCCTATAGGTGACTGTCTGGTTTCTAGTCCAGTCTGAACCACCAGAGAATTTCTGCATCACTGAATAGACTCAGCTGCACATGCAGTGACCTCTCTGCTCACTCAGGGAAGATTACCATGACAGATGAGGTTAATTTATTTGTTTATTTACTTTCCTTTCTTTTTGAGTTTTTTTTATATTTCTTCTGATCACATGACATGTCTAATTTATATAGAAATTTATTGTCATGTAAATATGTAACTTGCAGACATTTATATATAATACATATTGTGGAATTTTCTGTAGTTCTCTATACCTCATTACTATATGTATTTCTAATTGCACCAATGATTTTAAAGATAACATGTGTTGTATTTGTCTTGCTTACATGTGATTTTTTTTTGTAGCTTGAAATCTACAGAAGCGCATTTCATTCCCCAAAGAAAAGATTTTATAGACACCTTATCTTGTAATTATGAGAAAATATGTCATAATTAGGAGATGCACTTTCATATCATATCTTTACAGAGTACTTCATCATTGCCAGCCAGTTAAGTCAGCCAACGCAGCAATATTAAGCTAATACAGTATCTGATTTCCTTTGCCTGGTAGTGCCCTATGGACCAGCTGCCCCCATATTTTTAAACTTTATCATGTTCATCTAGCTATACATTATTTATTATCTCAGTCAGACAACAGTATAGGATATAACTGGACGTATATTCCTGCTAGGCATCTATGTTTTGTCTGGACAAACACAAAAGTGACCTCGCATCAGCAGTGACATTGATTTTTCCCTCCAGATACTTTTTCATGGCCCACTGTATGTCTCCACACTGTTCATCTGCAACTTCCAGTCTTTCAAGGCAGTGACTAAGTACTTGCTCTATTCTCTTTCCGCTCCAGGTGCCTTCATGTTACCATACTTCATCATGCTGGTGTTTTGCGGTATTCCCCTCTTCTTTCTTGAGTTGTCCTTCGGTCAGTTTGCCAGCCAGGGGTGTCTGGGAGTGTGGAAGATCAGCCCTATGTTCAAAGGTTAGTGTCAATGTGTTTGTGTGTTTGTATAAATTCCTCTTATCTGAGGTTTTTGATAAGGGTTAGTGTATGCGTGTTTGTGTACAGTGGTTCTGGTGATTTTTTTGCACTAGTGATCTCAAGATAGAAAGATCACAATCTTTGCCATCACCCAGGACTCAGAAGAAGAGCCATAGAGTTCTTGTTATGAAAGGATTCAGTGGTGTGAGTGTGAGGTGAGTTTATTGTAAAAGATCCATAGTCAGCTGCTTGTTATCATGTCAGATTACCTTTGGTTGATATTATTATTTTTTTATGGAAAATTAAAAAATGCCACTACTTACTATGTGCAGCTATGACCAAATTAGATGTGTTAGCAGCAGGAGAATAACATACATAATAACCACATAATGCTTGTCTGTTGACAAAGTTACAAACCAAATTTCAAACATATCAAAAGGTTCCGAGTCCAAAACAACTATTGTAAGGCTGCAGCATCTAGCATGATGGTGACACATCATGTACAGTGTTTGCTGTAAACCTGATCTGTTTTTATATGCTAAATACATTTGACCTTGACATTAAACTTGACAAGGCTGTCATTTGCTAAACTACTGTTTTTTCTGCTTTCCTGTCTTTTTCTCCCTGTAGGTGTGGGCTATGGCATGATGGTGGTGTCCACCTACATTGGGATCTATTACAACGTGGTCATTTGCATTGCCTTCTACTACTTTTTCATGTCCATGACAAACTTGCTGCCATGGACCTACTGCAACAACCCCTGGAACACACCGGACTGCAGTGGGGTGCTGGGCAGCAGCCACCAGCTCAACGCCAGCCTGGCTAATGCTACCACAAGCCTGGTAGCAGGGGTGTCCGAGGCAGTCAACCGCACCAAGAGGACCAGTCCCAGTGAGGAGTACTGGAAGTAAGTCTCTGCAGTACATCAAGGAAATTTAATTTATTGAAAAGTGAGTACAAGTGATGGCCATTGTGTGGGATTCTAAAGTATGAGCGTTATGGTAACTCAAGATGCAGGACATGGTTAAAAGACTATCTTCATCATAGGTTCAGTGCAGCAAGGGTACTACACTTTGTTTTGCCAAGTTATGCAAATAAGCTTGTTTTTTTTTTTTATTTGGAGTCCTATCATACTTGACACAGAGGTCAAAATTTACTTGCACCTGTAAGATAACCTTGTCTCAAACATGTGTCACATTTGCAGAAAGAATTTAAATATTTGAATTAGATTTGACTGAAGTGCTGCAGCTTCTTAGCATCGTGGGTCAGCAGTGACATGCAGGGCGCTTTCCCATATTACCATTATTCAGTCTTTGGCACAGCTCATTTGAATAACAACAAATCAGCGTTAAGTGCTAGACCATGTGTGAAAGTTCAATGAGGGTGTATCCAAGTGCAGCTACTATACAGTAGGTACAGCTGCACTAAAAGGGAAGAGAAAGAAAGAGGTGATAGGAATGAGAGAACTGTAATTGTTTGATTGCTCACTGTGAACTATCTCAAGTTGTCACACCTAAACAAGGAGAGCTGCTGTGTAACCAACCAATTTAATGTGTCAGAAGCACAGAGATTTATTCAGTCTTTTTACAGCAGCCTGGTGTGGTGATGGTTGCACATGACTTATGCTTAGTGAATCATCGTGTGTTGTGTAATTGTAATCGGTGGTTTCTAGTTTTGCGTGCATTGTGTTATGAAGTGGAGGCACGGACCAGGATATCTTTGGAGGCGATCTCTGTTTAATCTCTCTCTGACAACAGATATAAATACACAATCATCTGGTCAGTTGTCATGTTACAACTTGCAATTGGCATGTTGACTGCAGGAATGTCCACCAGAGCTGTTGCCCGTGAATTGAATGTTCATTTCTCTACCATAAGCCGTCTCCAAAGGTGTTTCAGAGAATTTGGCAGTACATCCAACTGGCCTCACAACCGCAGGCCACAATCAACAACCTAATCAACTTAATACGAAGGAGATGTGTTGCACTGCGTGAGGCAAATGGTGGTCACACCAGTTACTGACTGGTTTCCAGACGCCCCCAGACCCTCCCAATACAGTGAAACTGCACATTTTCTGATCTGATCTGATCAGCATCTTGATATGCCACATCTGTGAGGTAGATGGATTAAAAAACAAAAGTGTTGCGTTTAAAATTTTGTTCAGTATATTTACATAGAATATTGTGTAATTATAATATTACATACCGGTATTTGACTCTGTTACATAATGACGTGTAATTGCATTACACACATTGTCTTTGCCTATTAAATTTGCATTAAACTTATATTTTCTATCTAAATGTGTATACTGGTCGGTTTTACTCTGATCATCAACACAACGCAGCTATCACCGCAACAAACAGTGACATGCTGAAAACAGTCCTGCTCCTCGGATGTCTATACAGCAGTGCTAAGGCAGATGTGAAGAGGTGTAGGTTGTATAGTCTACATGAAGATAAATTAATTATTATCCTCAGTGTTGCATGCACATACATACTGTCATTAAGTATTATTTGCATTTCAAATAACACCCACATGGATCGGTATGAAATTTTCACAGTATGATCTTAAGCAAAAATATCATGGTTTCATGGTTTCGCGGAATTGTGATTACAGCTCCACATATGATTTTTAAATATCTGGGTAAAAAAATATCAACTTTTTTCCAAAAAGAATTTAAGCTGCTACTGCTGCTAAGAATAATATCAATATTTGTAATTTCAGTGTTGATGCACATATACACATACAGTAAGGAAAGAGAGAGAGAGAGAGCAAGTGTGTCTCACACACACACACACACACACACACACAGTCTCTCTCCGTACAACAAACAGTGGACAAGACACAAGAGAGCCAGCAGTTTTTTTTCTTCTTAAATGTCTTGATTATTAACATATGTACACAATGGTGGAAGACTTAAACAAAAGTATAGACGTGATACCAGCTAAATTTAGTTATTGTACTAAATTGCAGAACCGTAGTACTCTTCTCTTCGAAGCTGTGCGAAGTAACGTGAGGGGTGAAACAAGATAATGTTAGCTAGTTAATTAGCTGTGTTATCTGCCTCAGTAGCAAGCCAACAGTATTTATTTCACCAATGCTAAACACGCTTACTCTCTTAGCTTGTTGCAAACGTTCATTTCAAGATAGTGTTACCTTGAATTTAGCGAAGAGTGATAGGTGGTGCTCCCGAAGCAAAGATGGGATATAATTCATCATCATCATTTCAACGGCATATTATATGGCAGAAGGGGGAGAATGTTCAGGGGTTCTTCCTTACGCCATCCCACACAGAGGTGACTGACTGCTCGCACCAGCAGGAGGGGTCGTGTTACACTCTACGCTGCTCACAACCTGCCAGACATAACAATTTTGGTGGTTTTGAAACCTTGACTTTTTCATACCGCGGGATAAATTGAAAACCGGCCCACGCCTGCACCCACACCAATGATATTTGAGAGCAAACAGTGCGTTATTTTTGTTACATATTCTCCCTTTCTGGATCCCATTTCCAGAATTTTCATAAGCCACATATACATTGCTTCTACCTTTAATTCATAGTTAGTAATGGAGCAATACGGGCAATCAAAAATCCAGCAACAACACTGTACAGGGCTTTGAAAAGAACTAAAGCCAGTAGTCCTAAATTTAGTCTCTCTGTCTTTCTTTCTCAGACATTATGTGTTGAACATCTCTGATGATATTGGGAACTTTGGAGAGGTCCGTCTCCCTATCTTGGGCTGCCTGGCTGTATCCTGGATTGTCGTCTTCCTCTGTCTGATCAGGGGGGTTAAATCCTCTGGAAAGGTTAGCCTAACAGACCCACACACACACGCACACGCACACAGACACCAAGGCTTGACCACATGCAAAAACAGACAACTTATCCATATTTTACACACATACAGACATTCCTAACTCTCTTGTCACTTGTAGGTTTTGCTATAAAAAACTTCTTGTTCCAACTGATTTCACCACATGGTCTGATTATCTGTTTGTGTGTGTGTGTGTGTGTGTGTGTGTGTCCAGGTGGTGTACTTCACAGCCACGTTCCCTTATGTTGTTTTGACCATCTTGTTCATTCGTGGCATCACCCTGGATGGAGCTATTAATGGCATCAAGTACTACCTGACTCCACAGTGGCAGAAGGTCCTTGACGCAAAGGTATTCATTCACATAAAAACGCAGATGGATAGACTACCTGGAAATAGAAATCAATTTTTCCTTCTTTTTACTGCTTCTGACTGCATGTGGCTTTGTATTTCTAGGTGTGGGGAGATGCAGCATCACAGATCTTCTACTCCCTGGGCTGTGCCTGGGGGGGTCTCATTACTATGGCTTCCTATAACAAGTTCCACAACAACTGTTTCAGGTTGGTACAAAAAGAAATTACGCTTGATTAAAATAGTTCAGCTCATTTTGGGAAATATGCTTATTTGCGTTCTTGCTGAGAGTAAGATAAGAAGATTGATACAACTTTCTTATCGGTGTGGTAAATATGCTGCTGGAACCAGGAGACAGAGTAGCTTAGCCTATAAACAGCTAGCCTGGCACTGTCCTAAGGTGACAAAATCCACCTACCAGCACCTCTAAAGCTTATTAATTAAAATGTTAAATTTGTTTGTTTAATGCCTACAAATACAGACGTGCGAGAACAACAAGTTGTGGCATTAAAGAGGGTTATAATCAGGCCTATCTCTTGCCTGGGGGCTGTGGCTTCATGGACTCTTGTTTTACTGTGAGCTTGCCAGGCATCCAGAGGAGACTTCAGACCACCCATAAAAACCACAGTGTGTCAACCTTACATTTTTTGTATGGATAAAATAAACAAAAAATTTAATATTTATTAGTGAGCTTTAGAGCTGCTGATAGCCAAGCTAGCTGTTTCCCCCTGCTTCCAGTATTTGTGCTAATGTTAAGTTAAGCTAATGGGCTGCTGGCTGTAACTTCATATAAGACTCTCGAAAGAGCATAAGCATTTTTCAGAAAATGTGAAGCTATTTATTTAAGAGATCAGCTCAAACTCTCACAATAATGGCCAGACATGCTGGAGGTGCTGACGGATGTGAAATCAGTGGATCTTATTTAGCATATATGAATGCAGGGCTTCTACAGTTACACTGTAATCCTTGAACTGAAGTTACAGCATTCAAACTAAATTAATTGGAGGTGGTTGAATTTTACCCAAAAGCAATGCTGTGCTGCAGCAGTTACAGTGTGAGTACTTGCCCGCCTCTGTGAAAATGACATCCGGCTAAGCTGCCGCAATGTTTCAGCAACACAGACCAGCATCTTATTATTTGCACTAATCAGAGAAACTAAGCAGAGAGAGTGCGAGCAGAGGAGACATGAAGTGGAAGGAGGAAAGGGGGAGTTGACTAGAAAGTGTAGAGAATTCACCACATGCGACTGAAGGCTTCAGTACAAAGAGAAGAGATAGCCAGTGAGAGGGAGAGGAGAAATTGTTTCAGGTTGTCCAGGCTGATGAGTCAGAGCTAGAGAGTGACGGAGAAAAAGAGAGGAGCAGGGTAACATAGTCAGGAGCCAACTTGGTACAGGTTTAAAAAGAGAAGTTGGAGAAGGTGAGATAAGGTAGGACAGGAGATAATGTTTTTTTGGACTTGTGTTAAGAGGCTGGTTGCACTGTGCTTGATGCCAGGGGAGTGAGTGAGAAGCAGAGGAGAAGGTTAAGATGGAGGAAAGGGGACAGAAGAGGAGATAAGGAGAGGAAAAGATGTCTAGTCCACACATGCTGAGATTGTGCTATCTGCGCACACAGCTGCACGGCGGCCTAATCAGCTTGTGTTCTGCAGCTCTGTCCCTGTAGAGTCACACTGCACTCCTGTAACACCACCAATTGGTGCACATGCAGAAGTGCACAGAGTGTCACAATGAGCGGGGGCCTTATTGGTGGTTTGTGAGGTGTCGAGAAAGGGACCGGAATTGAAGTCATAACTGATGATATGTGAAAACTCTAACAGGAAAATGTGAGGGAACAGAGCAATGTGCAAACACATAAGTCCCTTGCTGATTCTGAACAGTCCAAGTTGAGGAGAGTAAAGATGTTCTGAAGGTGTTCTCCATGCACCTTCTAGCAGTGTACAGCTGACACAGGTGCTTTCTCAGATCAAGGACAGCAAACTCCAAGGGAAGAACAGGATTTAAAGCCTTTATTAGTGCAAACAGACTAATGATTTGACACTACTATGTCTTCATCCGAGTCAAAATCATCTTGACTCAGAGAGAGTAAACCCAGCTCCTGTCAGATCCGCTAAGAGTTAAAATTCTGTGTTTACTCCGATACTAATTAAATCTAAAGATTAATACAATTATCAACGGCAGTCCTAGATTAACTAAACGATTTTCAAAAGTTATTTTTCTCTAATATGAAGAATTAGCAATTAGCATAGGCTTTGCCCTGTCTGAGAGCACAAACAAGCTGTATTTCCAAACCTGTACCAAGTAATAGTACTGTATATGTAAAAAAAAAAAAAAATACCATATCATTTAGGAAAATATAAAACATTTTGGGCCATTTTATCTGCCCTTTAAAATTACAGCAATTCTTGTGCACTTTACCAACCTTGGTTCGTTTGGTCAACATTTAAAGGAACATTCAGTGGATTCCCAAGTTGTCATAATCTATCTTGAGGCATTAAACAAAAAAAAAAAAAAAAAATACCCTGCACAAAAACTTGTCATTTCCTATGTACCTATGTCTTACTTTATGCACATACAACCGTACGGCTGTTGTGTCAGGTAGAACATGGAACTGAGCGCTGCAGCACTTATTCTCAAAGGCTTCTCCTTGATTGACTGTGGCTCAGATTGTTGCTCATTTGTATGTCACTTCAGAAACAACGATTCTGCCAAATTAATTAATAGAAAATTAATTTAAATGTCAAGAAATCTCATTTTTAGAGGGGGGTGGATTCATAGCTGATACCTAAAGTATCAATACTATTATTAGTGAACATGTAAAAGCTTATTTAATGTATGGTAAATAATTTGCTTATGGTGAAAATATCTTCAGGTAGCCTTTGAATGAGGCATTCACCTCATAGCGTCTCCCCTCTACATGACTACCCTTTACACATTAGTCACCTTTTTCAGTAAAAAGTTAGTATTGGTATTAATAATCAGTGATTTGGGGATAAATCTGAAACAGATTTTGTGGTATTACCCACCCGCTACTTGCTGGATGATATGGAAGGCGGAATGGAGGGAGTGGTCACCACAAGGAAGAGAGGAGAGGAATGGTTTCTTTTTATTAGCTTTTTGTAAAATTGGTGAAGCATTGATGAAATAAAGAGCATGAACAGCTTAAAATTAAGCTAAAAGACAGATCCAACACTCCGAAGAGCACAATCTTATTGCTTCTGTGCTAAGGGACAGTGTGACTGACAACGATGCTGGATACCCTGGTTTCAAATTGCAAATGTATGTATCCCCCCCAGCAGTTAAATTAATGCCCAATATGTTCTTTTCTTCTCTTCCCAGAGACAGCATCATCATCAGTATAACCAACTGTGCAACTAGCGTGTATGCCGGCTTTGTCATTTTCTCCATCCTGGGCTTCATGGCACACAACCTGAATGTCCCTGTGTCAGAAGTGGCCGACCATGGACCGGGCCTGGCTTTTGTGGCCTACCCAGAAGCCCTCACTCTTCTCCCCATCTCACCACTCTGGTCACTGCTCTTCTTCTTTATGCTCATCCTTCTGGGACTAGGAACTCAGGTAAGGCTGGAATACTGTACTTTACACATAGGCTGTGCTTTCACTAGCAAGGACCACAATCAACAGATATGATTAAATGATTTATTGATGAACAAAACAGAAAGATGTACGAGACTTGCAGTTGCTGAATAGACATTCGAAAGTGTTGTGGGGAAGCTACAATAGGGAAATGTGCCATAGCACCCCGGCACAACAGACCCCCCCTATAACCCTATGGAGAGGAAGAAGGAGATGAGGAGACCAGACGGAGAAAGGGGTGAGCGGGAGGGGTGCAGAATGCAAGCGCGAAGAAGAGGAGATGGGTTGTGTGGGTATTTATGGAAATGACGTCATTGATGCGTGGTCCCGCTCTTGAAACTCCAGCAGCACAACAACCAAATCTAAAATCATGTGTGACTATACGAATGTATAAACACGTAAATGTGAATTACTTGTGTGATATTATAAATCATGTCCCGACAGCTCAGGTCAATCTGTGGGCCTGGTATTATATATCACTGGTTCAAGGAGACTGTTTTTAATATTCACAGGCCTACCACAGACATCAGTAACAAAAGCATCCATGGATCTCCAGATGTTTTACATAGACTATGTTGAGTCAAGTTAAAAGACATCCTGAGTAAGGCAAGTGTGCTGATATGCATTGGTGAACTTTTAGCCACACTAGCAGCATGGCTTTAGGTTTGGCAATGTCTGTTGGTCGGCTGGGCCACCTCTTTAGTCAAGACTGAAATGTCTCAACAACATGAAATTTGGTATATTCCCCCTCAGCTTGAATTACAATCACTTGACCACTTTTCATGTAGCGTAAAAATTATAATTTGTCCACTGCTTTGGTTTAAGACCAAATGCCTTCAAAACGAATGGCCTCTACTGAACTTTTGTTTAGTTCTAGTTAGCAAATGTTTGCATGTTAACATGCTGAAATAAGATGGCAAACACGTAATCCCTTCTAAATATCAACATGTTTGCATTGTTATTGTGAATTAGCATTCAGTACAGCCTCACAGATCTGCTAGCATGGCTGTAGGCTCTTGTATTAGCCCATATTGATAAAAGGCTTTTTATTCTTGACCATCCACTCAAGTGCTTGGATTTGGAATTTGAATGCCACCCATATTGGCAGATTTTGCATGCTTGTACTTTGCATATTTATGTTTCAATTTCACTCAGTGAATGTGTACAGATTATAAATATACTGGACATTCAATGCAGAACAGGAACTTTTCCCTCCAAAAATGTAAGACTTTAAGATGATGTTATTAGCCTCAGCTCATCATCACTCAGTGATGGGTGTGTAAACTGTTAACATGAAAAAACAGTCTCCAATCATCTGTCAAGATTTGTTTTGGACTGTGGTATGCCTGTTCTCATGATGTAAGAAGACATTTCAGTAACGACTGTCTAATCTCACCTCATCTCCTCTGTTCTTGTAGTTCTGTCTGCTGGAGACCCTGGTGACGGCCATCGTCGATGAGATCGGTACAGACTGGATCATGAGGAACAAAACCATAATCACACTGTCAGTGGCCATAGTTGGATTTTTACTGGGAGTGCCACTAACGACACAGGTAAGTCTCACACAGACACATGCTGATCATGTCAACGAAAAACAACGTTTTCTCTCATGCAGATGCAGTTTTGAATCTTGATTCTCTGTTCTCTGTGTGCAGGCAGGAATCTATTGGTTGCTACTGATGGACAACTATGCTGCTAGTTTCTCTTTGGTCATCATCTCCTGCATCATGTGTATCTGCGTCATGTATATTTATGGTAAGGAGGGAAATAGAGTGACGATGCTGGTGTGTGAAGTGGTTTTAAACTGTATACTATTCTCATGTGAACCTCACCTTTTTAAAAGAAATAAACACATTCTGGGACCCACTAACATTATTATAAAAATATATTGAATATGGGGCTTGCAAGTTTAGTTTTATTTCCGGCTTGATGCTCTACTTTTCTTATCTATGTAGATGATTGGCCATTCCTACACATAATTATTCCATAGAGAGATTTCAGCAATGGTATAGTCTCAAAGCACAGGCGCACAAGAGAGGACAGTTCATTAAAAGAGGACAAAACTCTTCGGCACCTTGTCTGTATTTGAATTTGTCTGGCTTCTTTGATTCAAAACAATTTCAGCTTAATTTCAAACTGGCCATTTTACAGCCAAATTAAACAATCAAACAAAATGTAAAATTACAAGAGGCAGAGATACAGATTTGTTTTTCCACCAATGCCAGGCCAGCACACAGTTCTGCCTTAGGACATTTCTATTTTTCTATTTATTTATTAGGACAGCACACATTAATCAACATTACTGTAAATGTGCCAGTGTTAGCCTACTGGCTAATTTTCAACTGCAGTCCTTCGGCAAGATGTTTTGAAACCTTAAAAATGATCAAATATACAGTGTACAGACTAGAAAAATATTTTCTTCTCTTACTTTTCCTTTCCTTTTTGCACATGCTGCACATCAGTACACCTATAGTGGTGGATTAAGATAGCAATGGACCCCTAGGCTACACTTTATTTGGCACACATTTCGATTGCATAAATTAATGCTAATAGTTCACTCAGGAGCAAATTCAAATCACCACAAGTTGGTGCCAGACCCACAGTGTGATATCAACACAGAGATGGCCAGTATAAGAAGAATGCCCCAAAAAGAGTGGTACCCCAAAATGGCACAGTGGAACTTACTGTGAGGCTTCCTAAAATACTTGGATTTGGACAAATCATCCATCAAATCAAAGGAACTACAGAGACCACTGACTCTATTTTCATCATCTGCTTTCATGTGCATACACATTGTATGCCATTACTAAAATGTAAAAGGAGTAATCAAAATTATGTTTTTGTTGCAGGTCACAGGAACTACTTTAAAGATGTTGAGATGATGCTGGGCTTCCCTCCTCCTCTCTTCTTCAAAGTCTGCTGGAGATTCATCTCCCCTCTCATTATCTCTGTAAGTGAACACACACACACACACACACACACACACACACACACGCTGAACTGGGCCCACAGTCATAGTGATTGAACCTGCAATCCAAATTCCAAACATTGTAGTGGTCACATAAACATTCCTGTCTCCTGAAACATTAAGGTGTTTAAAGATTTGATTGTTGCAGGAAACAAACCGCACTTTGAAGTAGCGATATGATGGACGTCCTGTGCTGCTGACTCATTGTTAGGGACCTGACCTACATTGGAGCTGCCGTCAACACTAATCGTTTTGGCTACTGTTGGCTTTGTTTCCAATATAAACTTCTAAAAGCAAATCTGTCTGAGTGGAAAATGGACACATGCAGCTGCTATCAATGGTATTTCCCAAGCAGGCGCATTAGTCCGCTAAGCTGCTGGGCCAACTAAGAAATTCATTGTTGTGGATTACTGGTCAAATTTCAAGCCCTTTTGTTTTCTGTGTCATTTCACTGCACAGATTAATGCCCTGCTCTTCAGGGCTGGAACTGTGACTAAACTCACTGCTGTTGGGAGCAGTCATGACTTATAATCATAATTATCTGCAGCCTTTAAATAAAAACGCACCTTTCGTGCTGCTGTGTATAGTGATTTCACCTGTACGGAGTAAATACAGGTTCATTGGGATAAGCTGATCTGTTGTAGAGGAAGAAATGTTTTTCACTTTGTAGTCACAGCAGCCATTTATTTGGACTAATTTTAAGCAGGATGGGGAACACTTACTGATTTAACACTAATTATTGTTGTATATTGTAGTGTGTTTACCTACTATTGTTAAAATGACAGGTAAAATAGAGAGTAACTTTCTTTCTTATTTTGTTTTTATTCTTTCCAACATTTCAACATAAATGGGTTTTGTTTTAAATTGGGTTTGTTTTAAACTTTTGGGTTTAGGCAGTTTTTGAATTCCGTTACCTTTTCAAACACCTACCCTAAATAACAAAGCCCTAAATAATTCACTGTCTCTCTTCTGTCTATGTAGTTCATCCTGATCTTCACAGTGATCCAGTACAAGCCCATCACTTACAATGACTATGTGTATCCCGGCTGGTCTCTGGCTATCGGCTTCGCCATGGCTCTGTCCTCAGTGGTCTGCATACCCATCTATGCCCTCTACAAGATCTCAAGGTCCCCAGGAGCCACCTTCAGAGAGGTACATCATCTCCTACAACTGTTTCTCCAAATAGAATGAGCCTCCATAGCATTTCATGGGACTCATACAATGGCTACTTGTCGTTCATGTAGTTTCACCAAACACAGATTAGCTGATAGTAGGAACGGACTTAGCTAGACAACATGCATACCATCCCAATGTTATTATTGGCTAGAAAAAGTGTACTCACTTACGACAAAAAATTTTTTTGGAAGTGTAAGAGCCAAAAGCAACTGAAATCATTGTAGTGCAATTGTTTAAAGCTATTGGAAAAATGTTTTTCAGATCACCTACAGGCAGTTGAATTGCCAGTTTGGATGTAAACATTGAAAGCAGCTGAACTTACATTTGAAGAGTAAGAGATAAAAAAAATAATACATTAGATTTATGTAGCGCTTTTCTAAATACTCAAAGGCAAGTCATTTAAAGAACAAGAATGCAAGTAGCGAAAACAATGAAAGCTATTTACATTTGAGGAAAGTAAAAGTGTCAGTCGTAGCTAAAGTGTTTGCGCTGCCAATAGTTGAAGAAATGGAAGCAGCTGAAATGACAGCTGACGTTGAAGCACTAAGTTAAGTGTCAGTTGTGTCAGTCAATCAATGAACGCAGCTTTAAATATAGACATTTGAGTGTTTTTGGAGCTAACATTTGTAGTCAAATTTACATCATGAATGCGTAAACTATTATATTCGGACTCAAGACTTCCAGCTTAGTCCCGAATCTGATTAGTATTTAATTCTGAGTCCTTGTACATCTCTTTTGACTTTTGCCCTGAAGTTTCCCTTCATAATGAGGTTACTCTAAATAATGTGTCCCTTATTCATTTTCTATGTCAGCGGTTGAAGAATGCTTGCCAACCCCATCCAAAGTGGGGCCCTGCTCTGAGGGAACACCGGACAGGCCGCTACGCCCCCATGGCCTCGGGAGACACTGTGGAGGCTCGTCCCCTCAAGGAAAAGGAGGAGCTGAAGGAGGACCTGAAGGAGGAGCTGAAGGAGGAGGAGGAGAAGGAGAGGAAGGATGAGATCAGCCTTACCATCCAGGGAAGCAACGGCTCCACCAACACACACAACAACCCCAATCCCAGCGCATAGACGGCACCCCGCTTTGTCAGCGCTGCCGGGCACGGCCCCACTGCACCATTTCCTCCTTCTCTTCCTCCCTTCCCCTCCCTTCTCCATCGTCACCCCACTTTCTCACAGTCCTCTGTGGGGGAGATCCCATTCATTGGAGACCTTTACATATTGTAAGGGCTTATTATGTCTATCCTAACCTCTTCTATCTATCTGTGTGTTGTCTCTAGATAAACGAAGGAAAAAAAACACGAAAGGAAGACAAAATTGGGTCATCCAAAAGATTTGCGCGTACGTTAGTGTGTTTGTGTGGGTCGGTTGTTAATTTGTTACACATAATTTAATAATGCAGTTTATTTTTCCTTTCCTTTTTGTAAAACTTGTATATGTCATCTTCATATGCAGTTAGAGTTACAGTAGATTGTGAAGCTGCATGTGTTTGTTTTGTGCATGCAGCAACATAGAGACACACACTGTTCTCCTTTATACTGTTCGCTGGGTCTGTTTTGGGATTGGAGACTTTCTAACAGCAGTGATTTGACAGCTGGGGACTTGTGATGTGATACACAGTGGTGCTGTAATAAAGAGGAGCAGGGTGAACTGTGCCTGTACTGGCCATTTACAGTTTGATGATGCTGAACGAGGGAAATAGGCAATTCTATGGCCAGAAAAAGAGGCGGATACATTTATTCACACTCATACACTCACACTATTGTACATTATACAGCACACAGTGACCTCAACCATAGTTGATCTCAGCTTAAGACTAAGCCTGTTGTTTTTTATGCTGCTTCTTTAAAAAGTTATACAGAGCACACATATTTAACAAACACCCGAGATGGCGAAAGTGTTAACAAACACTTAGGGCTGATCTTCTGCCGAAATTTCTCCCATTTTAACTTTTTCCACTAAAGCTGCTTAAACTCAGCAGAGAAATGTCAGTGAACTTTAACGGTACTGTAGTCTCTGCCTACACATTCACACTGGAAAAAACACAAAGAGTTTGTTTCCAGTTTTTTGACAGAAGTGATCCCAGTGCCCATTTCTCAGGGTCCAAGCGCAGTCAAACTTTGTGATTTATATTTGTTCCTTGCCTGTGGAAACCTTGTCTCAACTAAGGTGGCCTGTTAAGATTATAGGGACTGAAACCACCTAACTCTCCCGCTAAAAAAAAACACCTACACACACACACACACACACACACACACACACACACACACACACACACACACACACACACACACACACACACACACAAAACAGGTGGATGCAACTCTGTATATAGAAGTGCCATCTCTTCTTAAGTCTTCCAGGCATTCTTTACGAGTGAAGTGCATCTTGGGATGTGGTCTACAAATGAGGATCCGGGCTAGAGGAGGTAGCTAGTGAAAGGATCATAGGTGTGTAATAGTCTGTGTCTCCCGTGGGTCGTAGCAATCTGCCCCATTAAGGCATGTTACCAAAAACATTACCTGAGTTACCTGAGTCCTGCACATGTTTTTGGTAACATATATACTGTATATCTCAGAGAGACTGGCATGGTGTCAGTCTCTTACAGTCAGTGGAACCTTTAATGTATTTACAGGCATTTATTTTAAAGCTCTGAGCCAAGCTGTGCTGTGACATGATGGAGAGACAGAAAGCAGAGAGATGCAGCTTGTATCCAGAAGAATACAGAATAAATACAAACTTTAATGAATTATGTAGTTTTTAATGTAGCTGTATAGTATCTGTCTCTCAGTAGAATTCTCCTTTTTACCTCTCATTATTGTAAAGTAACTTAGTAAATAATTATAAAGACAGCATATGTTTATTTTGTACAAAAAATAAAAACTACAGAATCATAAATAACCATGTTTACTATTCCTCACCTGTGACTTGATTTGTTGTTTTGTTGGAGGGTGTGAAAGGACGGAGAGGGGTCTTTTTAGCACGCAGGGTTGGGTTTTACAAAAGTGTCTGATTGGATAGCACCCAAGACAATTTAGTAGTAGTGTGGTGGTCTAAATACAGAACAAATACATGAAAAGAGTTTTGTTTTTTGTCATCTAGATGTGTTAAGATCACATATTCCACGTCTTGCTTTGTTGGACACCTGCTTAGGTGGTAGTGAGGTGCGTTTAGCACAGGCAGGGAGGATTTTTGGCATTGCATCAGGTCTGGTTGGAATGTTTTTCACATAGTAGTTTCGCTTTTTCTTTGTTTGTGAGCTGTCAAATCAAAGCCATTTGGAGAACTAGAGGGCTATGATACCAGTATGAACATGGAACATATTTACCTAATATACAAAGTTGTATATTGCATACCATATATTGTATATAGGAATACTTTAAAATGTTGGGAAATATTCTTATTTACTTTCTTGCTGAGACTTAACTGAGAGGTTTGATACCACTCTCATGTCTGTATGGTAAATATGTAGCTTGAGACAGCATTAGCTTGGCCTGACTCTGTACAGTAAAAACAAAATATACCTACCAGCAGTCTCACAAATTAACATGGTATATCTTGTTTGTTTAATATGCACCAAATCAGCACATTGTAAATTTTGACACTTAGATTTTTGTATGGATTACACAAACGAGTTATAAAAATTTACTGAACTCTAGTGGTGTTGATAGGTGGATTTCTTTACCTTTGGACAGAGCCAGTCAAGCTCTTTCCCCCTGTTTCCAGTCTGCTCAGCCAGAAAGCAAATAAGCATTTTTCTCCAAAATGGCTATCTATTCTTTTAAAAATGTGTCCATGCTTATCAGACTTTTCAACAATTTTATAGCGATACTGAAGCAAAACGTCAGAATAAATCTGCACATTCTCTCTTTTCTTTCACCTCTATTCCCCACAAGCATGTCTTTAGAGGAGGATAGTGCAGTTGCTCCATTAATCCACAAGATGGGGCAATGACACTCAGGGTAGTAAAGGCACAACAGAGGTGAACTGTGAACAAAAACATTAAATGTCAAGACAGGAACAATGAGAGAGGGCAATGCTTAGCACAGAAGCTCAAATATGGTGAAATTAATCACAATAAGCACAGTGAGCATTCTGAAACAAGCACATTTCAACCCAGGTTTTTACAGGAAGGGTCTCGGATTATAGATATGTATACTGGCTATTCACATAGGTGGAGAACTGTAGCTTTGGTTAGGGGTGTGTTTTGACCTTCTGGTTCTGGTTTATTCCTAAACTATTCACACTACACATGATGTATTTTGAAGTAGCGTTTATTTTAATTAAATTACTGCAAAACCAGGTGCTCTATGAAACAATACATTATCACCATCTACTAACCTAAATATATTGTGTTGCTTCCTTTGAGTAGAAATTCCAATATAAGGAATGTTACACTGTCTAAATGAGGTTTTAGTTGCTGAAAAAAAGGCGAATATGTACTTATTCTCAGTGTATATTGGGACAACTTGTAGCTCAGACCGTTTACTGTTTGTGATTGCCTGTCTCGTGTGTTCATGCTGTAGTAAGTGAAGCTTAGCCGCCATGTTACATGCTATCTCTATATATCCCAACCCTCACCATCTCTGCTGCCCCCACAACTCTTCCTCCCTATGTACAGTAATGTAAAAACTATATAATCGGACTGTGTGTATGTCTGTGTTTTTCTTTGCTTTTATTTTTGGGGTGGGTAAGTGTGTTTCTGCGGGTCAAGGGAGGGTGGGTATTGTTTCATTTCGTTTTTGATTTGTCATTTTACTTGTAGTGTAATGTAGACAATGTCAGATGTATTGTGTACTGTGTGTAGTGGATTAGCTCTTACTGCTGAGCCTGCATGTAGGCCTAGAGCAGGTGTAGTGTCAGTATTAATATTAGTGTACCTCTAATCTGTCAGAACTAGCCAAGTCCTATTCTGCTAATAATACACAGTCTAAAGATTTTTTTACTAAAAGAAGAGAAAGTAAATTAGATATTTTATCTTCAGATTTTAATCATTGTTTATCCATGTTCAATGACACTACTTTTTGTTTGTTTTTGAATTTGTATTCATAGAAACATTAAGATAAAGCCAGCTAATATTAAAAGCATTTCCAAACAAAAAAGCTTTGGATCGAAACTTGAACTACAAATGAATGGTTCGTTTTTACAGCAAGCTCTGGTGTAGATACATGACGATGCTATTTTTAAAACAGTATCACAAAAACTTAAAGCTATATCTTACACAGTGCAGTGCCATCAGACATTGCTGTTTACCTTTAATATTCTGTGGCCCTTAACCCAAACAGTCTGGCTTTTGCTGTGTAGTTTTTACAGAATATAAAAAAAAAAATAGCTAAATCAAAACATCAAACAAACTACTCTGCAACCAAGATATAATTAGCATCGTGACCCATTAACTCAATTTGTAATTCTTGTGCAGCTCTGATGCATATCTGATCTTAATACTGCTTTATGTGGATATGTTAGGCACATATGACATATATGTATCAGATAAGGGTCCAATTACTATAATATTTTGATCTTTTTGGCAAAGTTAAACTTCAATTATCTCACTACCAAAAGAGTAAGACCCATTTGGCCCTCCAGATAAGCAAAACAAATACACACAACTGAGAATAATTGTCGTCACATACTAATACACAATTGCCTACTATCATCTTACACCAAGGTGGCTGTATAGAAAGTCACTGATGTTGAAGAACGTGAACTACGTAAAGACCATTTTTACACATAAATTCACAGCTGCTCTACTGTACTAAAAACAAAACTGTGATGTTACCGTGTTTCTCTGTAAATTGCAGAACATTACCTCTTGAATTTCTTACTACTGCTCATATAAACATAATCTTGTGTTTCAGCACTTTAAAGAATTCACTTGTTTTTTTAAGCAACAGGAAAAAATATATAATTAGAATGATAATTCACTCTTCCATTTTGAAAAAAGAAAGCAAGTACAGTAAATGTCTTTTTTTTCAGTCGTTTGGCTGAATGAAACTGTCAATGTGTCGGTGGACAAATACTGTGTTGTTATAATGCCAATGTAAATTGTTGTCATGGGAGGAGTGAAGAGGAAAAGCACAAGTGAGAAAAGAGAACACAGTTCTTCTGGTATTCTCTATCATATCTATCTGTCAATCTATCTAACCATGTCTGTTCTTCTTGTTCTTCAACTTTTAGGGCCAAAATTCATTGAAATGTCTTAGTCCTGTCAGCTGTATATCGTAAACTATTGAATTACAAAATGGTAAATAAAATATATTTTAAAGATCAGTGTGCTGCAGTGTTCTTCTGTCTTTTTGTGGTGTTTTTTTAATTGTCATATAACTTCATACCACTCAAAATGCATAATTCTGAACATTTGTCTTGGGGTATTTTACATTTACCTCATGACTGCTTTCTTTTCTGGTTCAGTTATCCATGTTTTGGGTAGTGTCAATTAAAAAAGGCATTCAAGATGTCATAGTGAGCACTAAAGCTGTGTTTGATTTCTTCCTACTAAATACCAATACTGTGGACATTTTGTGTTTGTATATGCATGTTAGAATGGAAAATGATTATATAAAAGAAAAAATTATCTTATGCAAAGTGTACAAATACAGCGTATGGCATCTATATTACCAAAATTGTCCCATAATTCTCTATTACTTACCGGTGATTCTGACCTTATGGGTTTGTGCCACCTAAAAAGAAGACTACATTTGAAAGAATAAAAAACACAATCTTCTTCATAACCAGTAAAATTCACCCTTGCTCAGTTCAATACACTCAGCGGTTTTTGTGCCACTTCATACTGCCAAACTTTAGAAAGAAAATATTGTAATGTAACCGTGTCAGTTTGCCGATTACTGTTCTCTACTTAGCATGTATGAGAATTTCAATTTTATAACAAAAGGAAACCAAGAAATAAACACGGGAGATTTGTTTGTTGTTTCCTGTTTGTGGTCCTGATCAACCCACTCTCAGTCGGATCGTTTCATGATGATGCTTTAAAGCAACAATCATGGCAAATGAAGGGAAATTGTGACATTAACCAGTAATTTCCACTCAGCATCCACTGTTCAGCAACAGCTGCATAGCTAAAAGCCTTCATCAGGGTGTTGGACACAAGACATGACACAAATGAGTTACACGGGGTAGATGGAAGCCAAGAGGAAGGCAAGGCTACAGACATCACACAGGATGTCATTGAAAAGGAACCCCACCCAATTTACACTGCCTATAAGTGTTCGCAAAAACAGAACATACAGTATCTCACAAGTGAGTACACCCTCACGTGTTTGTAAATATTTGATTATATCATTTCATGGGAAAACACTGAAGAAATGACACTTTGCTACAATGTACAGCTTGTATAACAGTGTAAATTTGCTGTCCCCTCAAAATAACACATCACACAGCCATTAATGTCTAATCCACTGGCAACAAAAGTGAATACAGTGAAAATGTCCAAATTGGGCCCAATTAGCCATTTTCCCTCCTCAGTGTCATGTGAATCGTTAGTGTTACAAAGTCTCAGGCGTGAATGGGGAGCAGGTGTGTTAAATTTGGTGTTATCGCTCTTACACTATCATACTGGTCCGTGGAAGTTCAACATGGCACCTCATGGCAAAGACTCCTCTGAGGATCTGAAAAAAAAGGGTCAGCCTGTCAGTGCTCAGACCCTAAGCCGCACACTGCTTCAAATTGGTTTGCATGGCTGTCGTCCCAGAAGGAAGGCTCTTCTAAAGATGATGCACATGGTCTGATGAGATAAAGATAAACCTATTTGGTTCAGATGGTGTCAAGCGTGTGTGGCGGCAACCAGGTGAGGAGTACAAAGACAAGTGTGTCTTGCCTACAGTCAAGCATGGTGGTTGGAGTGTCATGGTCTGGAGCTGCATGAGTGCTACCAGCACTGGGGAGCTACAGTTCATTGAGGGAACCATGAATGCCAACATGTACTGTCACATACTGAAGCAGAGCATGATCCCCTCTCTTCGGAGACAGAGCTGCAGGGTAGTATTCCAACATGATAATGACTCCAAGCACACATGCAAGACAGCCACTGCCTTGCTAAAGAAGCTGAGGGTAAAGGTGATGGACTGACCAAGCATGTCTCCAGACCTAAACCCAGTTGAGCATCTGTGAGGCTTCCTCAAGGTCATTTCATGGTACAGAGCCTGGGAAATTTTGTGATAACTCTTTCTACATAACACTTTTCCCATGAGCCGTATCTATTTGCCAGGATCCTCCCGTCCTGTGAGCGAGGACCATAGAGTTTATCTTCTCAAACCAACCTTATCATATCCTCTCCAAGGACAGCGAAAGCTGCAGATGTACAGGTGTCAACTGTGGACATCAGTAATACTAGTTTTGTGTCTCTAACCAGACATTCCCCTGTGTAATGGCACCATCAAGTGGGAATAAGTGAAATGGAAGATGACCCCTTTAGATTTAATAACCAATCAGAGACTGTCAATTCAATAATTAAATGCACAACTGAGCTTTTACAGTTTTTGTCTCGAGTCAGTTTGCACTGTGCTTTAAAATTACACAAAATATATTACATTTAGCTATTTGACTAAATTTTTTTATTAAAGAAGAATTACGCAGTGTGCAAGAGGATCTGAATACATCTGGCCCAGTTTTTTTCCCCACAAATTGTTGAGTCTGAGCCAGAGCCAGGAAGGGCTAAGGAGCTTGTCGGCTTCGAAGCTGTACAGTGACTACAACATTAGTTCTCAAAAAAGGTCTCTGAGGCTTTAGACAGATCACCAGCTACAAACCTAAATCCCCCCACTTCCATGAACGACTCACGCCTTTGCCAACGAGCTGAACCAGTTTTGTCACTTTGAAAGACAATGGTATAGATCTGACACCATCCCCCGTCACACCACTGATCAGCCACAGTTCACCTTCTCACCTCCCCCCACCTCCTCCCACCTCTCTTACCATTCCTGGAGACGGATGTCATTAGACTGTTCAGGAGGCAGAAACCACATAAAGCTGATACATTTTTCCATGTAAAGCTGATTTAAAAATGTCCGTGAACACCGGCGACAGCTGATTTTCCACTCCCAAGTGTGCCAATGCCCGGTGTTCACGGACATTTTTAACACCTCACTGGAGACATGCCATGTGCCAGCCTGCTTCAAACTCCCCACTATAATCCCTGTCCCCAAATAACCACTTGACTAAACGACTACAGACCCGTCGCCCTGACATCTGTGGTTGTGAAGTCCTGTGAGCGCCTTGTGTTGTCCCACCTAAAATCTGTAACTGACTCACTTCTGGACCCCCTGCAGTTTGTCTACAGCGCCAACAGGTCTGTAGATGATGCAGTAAACATGGCCCCTCACAGTGGAGATGATCGTAGATTTCAGAAAGAGCCCAGCCCCACCCTCCCCCATCATCCTGGGTGACTCCGCAGTCACCATTGTGGATTCCTTCCGCTTCCTGTGATGATGGTGCACTTCTACACCGCCGTCATCGAGTCCATCCTCACCTCCTCCATCAGTATCATTCAGTCTGCAGAGAAGGTGATTGGCTGTCACCTTCCATTGTAGTGGGACAACGGTGTGGATTTGTGCATTTTATATTAAATAAATTTGGAGCTACTCCAAATTCCTCTTTTCCTCTCCCAGAGATGAGCAGGGGGGCTAAAGATAAACTTCAACAGACTGCTAAAGTGACCCCAACAGAAAGGGGGTGGAAAAGTTGCTTTCTCTAAGTGCTATCCCTGAGCAGCCTGATTATAAAACTGGCACCTTTTTGATTCCGAAGCCGATAACGCGGTGCCTGACTGTTAAACTGACAAAAGGGACACTAACCAGCGATTAGCATTTCCCTGAACAGCCTATCAAAACTGCCCCCCCCACACGGCAACTGGCCTTGCTCTGTGTTTCATTACCCCATCAAAGGGATACCTCCTTTTTACGCCTAAGTGTGACATAATCCAGGACAGCCGAACTTTAAATAAACAAAGACTGCAGTCTCCAAAGACCCAATGCATTAACTGCTATCTGTTGCTGATATTAGTGCTGAATCTAAATAAGTTACTTTGGCAGTGTTATTTTCAGCAAGATTAAGGACACTCCTTCATTTAATGTGTAACCAATGCTTGTTCACAATACTCTCTCACACACTTCCTTTAGAAATGATGATAACGAAATGTCATACTATACTCTATTAATTATCCAGCTTGAATTTAAGGCTGAATTCCCCATTTCCTAAGGAAAGATTGTTTTGTGTTAATCTAAGCTTTCCTCATGTAACCTGAGCTCCCCCAAGTGGACGAAATAAGTAATACATACCATCGTCGGAAATGCCGATGTATAAATGTCACCCACTTATCCTGACCAATAATGGGACAATTGTTTCCTGTTACCAAATGCTTAACTTAGAACGGTATAACCGTTTGACCATTGAGGTTTGATTGTGGAAAATATTTGATTATAATACGTGCAAATAGACTTTCTTTTTAGACATTAAAAGTTTAGAAAGGCAGTCCCTCTGGAAACCGGAAACGCCCTCTGGGGAACCACACCCCAGGCAACAAAAGAGCGACACACGACGTTGTTCACACTCTCTGCTCTTCCCCTCGTGCCCTGGTCTTCCGCTCTGCTCTCTGGACGCTTCGGCACGCGTCTTTCTTTCTTTTGTTTTGTTAAAGTTATCAGTCCGTTAAGTTACACTGGACTAATTCAGGAACGACCAAGTTCCATTTTAAGCTTGTTCGTCGAGCCAACTTCACCGAGGTCAGACCAAGCCACGTGGTCTCGCCAGCGGCAACGAAGGAAACCTGAAAACAGCCGAATTGCCAGACACGGAGAACCCCGGAGAATCCCTAGCAAAAAGCCAGGATTGGGCAGCTAGCGTGGGACCCGTGCAACAGGCCAAAGCAGGCAGTCGACAAGCCGTAAGACCTAACAAACATTCTGTAGTCAGGGATGTCCCATAATGTTAATATTGTCTTTTAACTCCTAAAACTCATAGCTTACTTTTATTAGTTCTCCTCTGCCGTATGAGTCAAATGCTTCCCACAATCGAATCTCCATTTCTCATTGTTCAGCCATTGTTTACTTTCCCTGTATTTAACCACCCTTTTATATCGCTTTAGTTATTTAATAAATTCACTGTAATCAAGAACTGTGTGTTGACTATCTCCACGTCCCTGCCAAGAGAATTGACCCTTTAGATATGAGACTGACTGATTGATTTAAGATAATTTATTTATTAAAATCTGCTGGGGCGCAAGTTAGTTCACCTAGTAGAGCATTACCGCAGCGGCC